GAGAGCACTGTGAATGAACAGAATGAGGAGAGCACTGTGAGTCAATGGAATGAGGAGAGCACTGTGAGTCAATGGAATGAGGAGAGCACTGTGAATGAACAGAATGAGGAGAGCACTGTGAGTCAATGGAATGAGGAGAGCACTGTGAGTGAACAGAATGAGGAGAGCACTGTGAATGAACAGAATGAGGAGAGCACTGTGAGTCAATGGAATGAGGAGAGCACTGTGAGTCAATGGAATGCCACATTACTAGGAGTCACTCTGCCTGTGTGCTCGCCCCTCCCTTCCAAGTCGTGGCTGTGAACAACCTCAGCTGGCAGACCAACGCCATGTTCCGGCCATTCGTGGAGGTATACGCCCTGGGGCCTCACCTCGGTGATAAGAAGCGCAAGTTCGGAACCAAGACCAAGAACAACACCTGGTCTCCGAAGTACAATGAGGCATTCCAGTTGTGAGTAACAGCACTTTTTTCATTAAAAAACAGAATAAAAGGCTTGAACTGAGGTCTGAAGCGACTTGATAATCCCACACATAGCGAGGGCATCATGGCCGCCTGAAACATGTGACGCCACCAGGCACCGTATTTTCTTGCTTAGCTGAGATGAGATTTCACAGATTTCCTCTGCGACCTTTTTCCTGTGGCTTCATTTTGACAAGAAGGGGCAGGGTTAGGTAACTATCACACGGGTACAGCAAAAGTTTCCGCCCTGGCCTTTCATTGTGACACCTCTGGGTCAGAAATCCAGCGATGCACAAACATGACGAGCCGGCGCTGACACGCTTTTGGTCGCGTGCCTTATTTTCCCAGCATCCTTAGCAACGAGCACGGCCCCGAGTCCTATGAGCTGCACCTGGCTGTGAAGGACTACTGCTTCGCCAGAGAGGACCGCACCATCGGCATGGCCGTCATCCCGCTCCGCGACCTGGGGGACAAGGGCAGCTACCTGGCCTGGCACCCCCTAGTTAAGAACATCTCCATGGATGAGACTGGGCTCACCATCATGAGGATACTGTCCCAGAGGACAAACGACGAGGTGGCTAAAGAGTTTGTGCGCCTCAAATCGGACACGCGGTCAGCCGAGGAACCATCTTGAAGAAAAAATAAAAACATTAAGTGACCCCCCCCCCAGAGGTTTAGGTGAGCCTCGGGTGATGAGTCAGACGGTACGTCTTTGTGCATGTGTGTGAAACATCTGTTGGAATGTTCGTTTCAAACTGCAGTATGTACAAGTGTATACCTATGCTTATTGTGAAATACTATACTCAACAGGTTATGTCAATGAGATATTAAATACCATTTTGTACCAAATTTAGCCTTTTGAACAGAATTTTGTTCAGGTAAGTGCCAAAACGGGGTAAAAATACTAAACAAAAAAAAAATATATATATATATATATATATATATATATATATATATATATATATATATATACATATTTATTAAAGAAATGGTGGATTTGGTATCAGTTTATTCTGCTTGATTATTTGGTCCAGTGTTACTCACCCCCTGAAAGGCAAAGTGTTCTTATTGTGCAGTCGTCTTGATTCCCCTCACTGTTAGCCAGCCGTTGTTATGCGTGTCCTGTTTCCCGCCATCGTCTCACAGCAGCCGCCTGTTGGGTTGGGGGCCTGCAGACATAACCTGTGTGATTTGTGCCAACATAAAGGGACTCCCCAGCTACGACTGCTATGTAATTCTTCATGGTTGTGTGTCGTCCTGACTGTGGGACACAGTAGACCCCGTCTCCTCCCAGTCAGTCCAAGCAGCGAGGATGGAAAGTGTCCCGTTTCTTCTTGTGGTTCATTTCTTTTATCAGCATTCAGAATTTCTGAAGAATCACTGTGAACCCATGTTTCAGGAGGAAAGATTGCCAATGGTTTGATAGTGATATTTCATATTTACGAGAAAAAAACCTGTTCTGATAAACTACCAGAGTTATATTAAATGTTGTATAAAAATCAATTTGTTACCTGTATGAAAAATCTATATTTTCCTGTGGTAGTCTGCATGGATTTTTTTAGCATGCTGTGCCAGGGAGATATGATGGGGCAATTTGATCTTTTTGTAGAGTACTCACACGCTGTGAGAGTTTATTACATATTTAATATATATCAGCTTTGGATTTTTTTTTTATTTCTCTTTGACAGAAACAGCCCTACATTCAGCTCTGAATGAAAGTTGTGTATTGTGTGACTATTATAACACATGGACGTTTACGGATCAACGTTGTTTGCTACTTTACCAGAATTCCTCAATGCATTTTAATCAGAAAAACATGTAAATCACCAGACTGCTAAACATAATGGTTTTGTGCTTTGGTCCACACAGTGTGACCAGTATACTCTGAAATGTGGAAAATTAAGGACTTCACTGCAAAACAAAAAGATAAGTGAACTAAATGTTTAAAAAATGCTGTTTAAAAGTCAATACACAGGACCAAGTACAAGGCATAAACTAGATTATTACTTGAGAAGAATGAATGACTTAATCACAAATGTATTGAAAAATACAAATAGGCATTTTTAAGTCAAACATCACAAGGGCAGGAATGAAAGTGAAATGGAAATGGACTAATATTTAAGAGTAAAAGCACAACTGATAAATTTTACACAGAAAGATGTTATAGCCAATGGCAGAGTAACAAGATGCTTGCCAATGTCAATAACAGATACTTATCACAGAAAAACAGATTGAGTAAATAAACAAATGATTCTGATCAAAATCTGGCTGTGATGACTCAGTGTAACTTGCACAGTGTTGAAACGGTGGCCCCTCATGGCACCACCCAGGATCCCCAGCCCCTCACAGCAACACCGGGATCCCCAGCCCCTCACAGCAACACCCGGGATCCCCAGCCCCTCACAGCAACACCCGGGATCCCCAGCCACTCACAGCACCACCCGGGATCCCCAGCCCCTCACAGCACCACCCGGGATCCCCAGCCACTCACAGCACCACCCGGGATCCCCAGCCACTCATAGCACCACCCGGGATCCCCAGCCACTCACGGCACCACCCGGGATCCCCAGCCACTCACGGCACCACCCGGGATCCCCAGCCCCTCATAGCACCACCCGGGATCCCCAGCCCCTCACAGCACTAACCAGGAGCCCCCTGGACCCACAACCCCTCATAGCACCCCCCTCCCCCCCCATTAGGACTATCAGAGGTATGGCAATGTGGAGGGTGACTCAGGTCAACCAGAAAATGAAAGATCAAAAGTGCTAAGTGAGCCCCCTGGTGTAGGGATGGCATAGGGGTCCTGGGACGACGCTGCAGCCCATGATTCCTGCTCTTTGAGCTGCTGTGCCTTTGCCCCAGACCCCAGCGCTATGTCCACCCTGCACTGAAACACAGGATAAGCCTGGCAGAGCGCACTGCAGCAGAACCGGCGCACGCTGACTTCTGTCTGAACTCGGAATGAGACAACCAAGAAAACATAAAGAAACAGCATGGTGGGTGCCTTTGTCTTCATCGGCGTACGAGCACGCTTCAGCACCTCATTTACCACCCCCCCTTACTCCCTTGCATGCATCAACCTTCCACAATAGATTTTAAACACGACCCGGCGAGACGGCCTGCCGGTTGCCATGGAAACCAAGTTGGCAGCGCCGACGTGGTGAGACCCAACATGGCCGCCATCACCTCCCGGCATGCGGGAAGGTGATGGACGGCTCCGTGTCGGCACGAGCGATCCGCCTCAGAGCGAATATGCGAGACTGTTATGTCATGGCGGGGGATGCGGGCAGCCGCAGGCAGCGGGAGAGAGAGAGGATCACCTTCAGCCCTGACGGACCACTGCAGGCTCCTTCAGCGGGACACAGAAACAATCTGAATGCATCATGAAGCCCATTACCCCTGGCAGGGGAAGCTGTACCACTGAACCATCTTTTTGGGCTGGTTTGATCTTCCATGCTATTGAACGACCCAGCCTAGAAAAACAAGGCAGTTTCTCAGTTGGAAAGAATTTGTTTTTTTTTCCCTTTTACTATTTTAGAAATGCGATTCTTCATTCTTTGGAGTTTAATATATACTCTCTAAGATAATCTCTTGTCAGACACGGCAGTGACACAGTCGCCCTGCTTCTCCGCTGCAGATCCATGCTGATGATTTACCTGTTTTTGTTGAACCTTCGCTTTGCAGCCGTACAGCCATTCATCTCCGAGGAAAACGGGGGACTTTCCTTTCAGTTCAAGGCCATGAAAATGTTGAACTGATGACAGTTTGCACTTGCCTCCCTTAAAACCAGGCTTGTAGGTGACAGAATACATATTAGGTGAGCTGAAGGAACACAGGATGCAGTAGAGCACAGTCAGGGGGCCCTGAAGGGCCCAGGCAGGCATCCTCTCCATCGCACAGAGACTAATATTCCTTTTCAAAGCATGACATCCTAAATTACTATAATAAAGAAATAAGATAACTATAGAGGAGCGCTTGTCATAGCCGATCATGGGGTCACGCTGGCTTTTGATCCAACTGAACTCCTAATTTAGCTTGATTGCTCTGGGCTGAATTGTGGCTGTAACTTAAGATTTGTGATTTTTCGGGGGGAGACAATTTGTACTAAATTCCACAGCAGGTTTGGCATCTATCATAATAATACCATGCTGGTTCTTTCTAATGACTATTATTAGACCATATTATCATACAGATTACTTAATGTTTCGTTGAAACATTTGAGTAACTGGATGATCAATTTATCCTAATCAAAGTGAACAGTAATTTTCCTGTTTCGTAACAGCCCAGCCAAAGCTGACTAATTAAGAGGCTGATGGAACAAAGACCGGCGTAAGCTATGGTCCATCTGGACCAGCTTGAGATCTGCTGCAGCAGAAATAAAATGATAGAATACAAACGCAATTCAGAGGAATAAAGAAAACCCCCAGATTAGGCAGAAAATCGGCTGCAGTTTAATAGCTGTGCCAGAAAGAGGCGTTCTACAGTACCATGCTTGTGACCCAAGATGGCCTGGCTTCTGAGCCTCCCCTACTTAATGCTGTCAGCCATCAGTCATTAACAGCCCCCTTAAATAAAAATCATAATAGTCAATGAGGTTAATAAGAGTCAATGGGGATTGCAGTGAAAACCAGGTACTCATCCATATTCCAGTCTATTCCCCATATAATCACAATGGCTTTAGTCAAATGGTCAATAAATGGCTAAAGTAATATATGAAACTGGCCATTATACCTTCTATTACAATACTGCGTGGCAACAATGAGACACTGCACACATCTTCCCCATAACATCTGGATTCCTCTGCATTGTTAGTGCCTGCTTCCATTTCTGTCACAGTAAATTAGATACTCGTGCAGGGACTCAAACAGCAGAACAGGGGCCTGGCAAATCTTTCAGGATTCAAGTTGCCGCTGTTTCCTCACCATCAAATGCAGCTTTCAATGTCAAAATGAATTTACTTTTGTTTTGCATCAGCACATGAAGCGACATTTAGTTTATGAAGCCGTCACACGTCGTTGTGTACGCATCACGGATTGCTGCACAATTAACTTGACCGTGCACCATCTCTTACACAGAAACTCACTGTGCCCAGCCTACACCACTGTAATCACAGTAAACAGGGTTTATATACTTGGGAACGAGAGAATGTGGCTGAAGAGGAAGATAGGAGTGTGGGGAAGAGAGAGAGAGAGAGAGAGAGAGAGAGAGAGATATGCATCAGTGAGCATAGGGTCAGCAATGAGATCTGCAGCAAAAGAATCAAGGAATCACTGAAGCATAGAAGAGGAGCGAACCGATGATTCTACAGATGTTACACATGTACAAAAGTAAGTGGCAAATATCTGAGCAAATATCTGAGCAAGGCAGAATGGAAGCAAGGGGGCAGAATATACATGAGTTAGAGACAATAAAAATTAGCCTCAAATGATACGTCAGCACGCGTTGTTAATTCGGCAAGCTTTGAAGTGCGTGTGGCCGTCAGCTGGATTTCACAGAGGCAAAGCCATCAAGCTGCTGGGCCCCCGCAGGCAGCAGGCATGTCTGTGTGACTGAGAGGAGGGCAGCTCCAGCACCCTGGATAGAGAAGCTTCTGTGACAGTCCAGCTCTGCCTGCAGTGAACGCCCTACCAGTGTGCGTATACCTGCTGCAGGCTAGACTGGGCATAGACCCTACTCAGATTAAACTGAGCATAGACCCTACCCAGGCTAAGCTATGCATGGTCCATCCCCAAATTGGAATGAGTATAGATCCTCCCCAGATTAAAATAGGCATAGACCTTCCCAAGTTAACTATGCATGGTCCCCCCACCAGTCAAAAATGGACACAAACCCTCCCCGGATTAAAATGA